ATATAGCCTTGCTGGCAAAAACTATGTAATGCTCTATTCGAAGCCAAAACTCCATCTGGGCCAAGATGTTAAAAGCCAAGTATGCCCACACCTCTACCATTGATGTTGCCCCAAGCAACAGACCCTCTTCGGGATGGAGGAGCCTATGCAAAGGGTTCAAACTCATCAAGAAAGGTTATTTTTGGAGAATTGGGGAAGGAAGCATGGTTAACATTTGGAATGATCCATGGATTCCCACAATCCTTAGTCATTGAATTCTCACTCAAAAACCAGAGGGAGAGCTTGTTGAGTTGGTTAAAAATCTTATCATTCATGATCAAGAGAAGTGGAACCTTAATCATATAAGGGAGCTCATTGAAGGTTTTGAGGTAAATGCCATCAAAGCCATTCCTCTAAGTATTTATGCTTGGCTAGATATACCTATCTAGGGCTTTCACAAAAGTGGGAATTATATAGTCAGATCTGACTACCGTTTGGATTAGAGTTCTGCAAATGATAATAATGGTACTCAGTCCTATCTCTACTCCACCTTCTAGAAGTAAATTTGGAGTCTAAGGCTGCATTTGGCATTCTTTATTTTAATGACTTATCTCCTTTTTGCAATTAAAAATTCAGTGTTCATAAAGGTATTTTAATCATACCACTCTAGAGATCTATAATTTCATTTTGAGATATTAATCAAATGATCTAGCCATGAGGAAGGCACTAGTAAAGATGGGCATTCCCACTAATCACCTTTGTCCCTAATATGGGGAAGAAACAAAAGACAATATGACATCCTCCTACATTGCTAATTTAGCTGGGTTGTTTGGCTTGGGTACCCCCTTTCTCTCTACTTCGATGATTTGCCAACCTTAAGCATAATAGATTGGGTGGACTCCTGGTTTCGTCTCATTGCTCTACCATTAGCCTCTTATCAATTATTAGTTGTCCTTAGCTGGGGAATTTGGAAAGCCCGAAATGAATTTTTATTCCATGGCTCTTCAAGAAGTCCCAAAGAAGTGATCAGATTCAAACTTCACATCCTTTATGAGATTGGCAACTTAGAGACCCCCTCTCTACTTGTCAAAGTTTGATACCCAACATCATGGTAGAGACCTCCTGAGGCTTGTCTTAAGGTTAATTACAATGCTAGTTTGAACGCTTCCACTTGTTAGGACCAATGTCCTTATCCAAGATGGAGAAAATTGGGTATAGGTTAAAAATTCAAATTGTAAATGAGTTAAGCTTAAAACCTTCCCCCAAAACTGAAACTAACCCTTTTGTTAGTTTAACAGGCAACGGAATAAGTGTTAGTCAATGGATTCAACAATTAATCAAGGCTCTCTTTGGCAAGTCTTTTTGAAAGATTTTTTGGGCTTTTATAAGCCCGATAAATAAAAAATGGTCATTTTCTGTTTGGTTACTAAAAGCCCACTAGACCAAAAGGCAGGATCCCAAGAAAGACCCTAAAAGATCAAAATGGTCTGGATTTGAGTAGCTCCAAGCCAAGCTTATGGTCTAGTTAGGCTACTTATCTTTTAGATACTTTTAACAAAAATTTAACTCAAAGAAATTCTCTGAGCAATTGAGAAGCATCGACACATGTATGCTCTCCTCCTCCTCCTCCTCCTTCTTCTTCACAATTACTAATCGTACTTGCTATTCACTATGTTCATGTTCTTCACCGTGTTCTCCTTTCTCATCAATGTTTGTCGTTCTTCATCATGTTCATGTATAATCAATAGACATCTCTCATTTTTTTTCCAAATTCCACTGGTGCATTAGGGTTTGAACTGGTATTGATGCATGCATATCTAGCATAATGAATTTATCAGAATGTAAATTTTGATCTGTATCTTTCAATGATTAACTTTACCACTGAATGTGGATATGTAGCTACAAAAATCAAATAAATGGTGTAATAGCAAATTATACAGGAGTTAGCATTTAAATAGATATATAACAATAATCATAAATAACTACTTGAAAGTAAATAACAATTGAAAATAAATGTGACAAAGAAATAAACAAGTTGCTATGAGGTTAGTGGTAATGCAATTAAATAAAGAGTAAGCAATAAATGTAAATAACTGCAAAATGTAAGTGGTAGTTGAAAGTAAAGAAATGTAAATGGCAGTTGCTAAGAAGAGTGTGCATGTTTGTGCAGTTGAAGATAAAGAACCATCCATAACAGAATAATTGAAAATTGGTCCAATTATTTAAAAATAATCAACTTGAGATTCAAGCAGTTGCAAAGTTTCTATTGGAATCTCAGGGACAAAATAACTGCTAAAAGTAAATAATACAATTAAACAACAAATAGAATAATGAAAGTAAACAACGGTAAATATAAAGTAGTTAAATAAAAGGTTAGAAGTTAGTGAAAGTTACTAAGCAATAAAATACTTAAACCACTGAACTAGTAAGTTAGTGCAATTAGTAATGTTAGTAGCACAAGAACCATACCAAGAACTCTATATCTTATAGATCAAAAGAAGATAAACTGAATAAAGTGCAATATCCACAAGATAATCACATCTTCAAGTTTTTTGTAGTTAGAAAGAGTTGTTAGTAATGTTAATAACAAAGTAATTGCAGAAACTTGAAACAAAACAAATAAAGATGAAGTAAATAAAGCATAGTACCCTAAGCCACCCATAAGGATTTCAACTAATTAGTTGGACTTACAAGCCCTAGCAAAGTCTTACAACCAACAGGATTTGCAAGTGCCTACAATATCTTAACTAGTAAGACTTGTGGGTGCTTGCAATACCTTTAGGGCTATCATCAGGTCGGGTGTGAGCCGAAACTAGCTAGAATTGGAACCGACCCAACATCAAATGTTGAGGACTTGGACCCAGAACCGGACCCAATAGGGTCCATAATTTTTGGACGTAGAACCAAATTGATCAGTTTTTAGGACCATTAGGCCTAACCCGACAGACCCGATTATAATAAATAAAAAATAAATATTTATGTTTAATATGTATTAAATATTCTATATATTCTATATTATATTATATGTATAGTATATATGTAATTTATTTATTTAATATTATATATATATATCTGGTTGGGTCTAAATCGGTTTGGGATTAGGTGGAAACGGTTTTGAATCGATAGTAATCGGGACCCTATATCAAGACCTAGAACCGAATCATTGTTTCCAATTCGTCGAACTAGAATCAGCCCAATTGGTTCAGATCAATCGAGTCAGACCTAACCCTTTTGACATCCCTAAATACCTTACACATCAGGATTTGCAAGTGCTTGCAATACCTAACAATTGGGATTTTGGGTGCC